AAGGCTCCGTTAGCTTTCCTCACACACTTCGAACCCTTTCGGGGGCGTTTCCAAAGCAACTCTCACAGCTACAAGTAGCTACACGTACAGCAGAGATAACAAGAGCCTGTGATTCACTGTTTCTCCTGGGCTTTCAGTTCTGGCACGTGCCATTTCGTTTTCTTGCATGGTTTTCCAGCGGGCGTGTCATGCTGGATGTGCAATGGGTCAAACGGCATCAAGAGATATCAAGAGGATCCCTATATGTGTCACCTATTTTATTTTATATTGTTTATATTATATTACATTATGCTATATTATGTTTTAGTATATAATATTATATTATATGATATGATATTATATTATATTATATGATATGATATTATATTATATATCTTCTTGATCTAAGACAACATGATCAGACAGACTAACTGGGGGCTGAAATGAGCCATGGAGACCCCTGATGATGAGCTCATTGAATTGCTCAGCTGCCATCGACCTGCCTCTTGTCAAAACGGATGGCAATGACATTTAAGTTCGGGATCTCACACGATCCATGTCTGAGATGGCACTGTTCCCGTTTTGGCTACAAACATGGGAAGGACAGATTTGGGGGCATGACAATTGTCTACACGGCCTCAAATCCACATGGTCATCCTCACCATCATCATCCTCATCGTCATCATCATCATCATCATCGTCATCATCATCATCGTCATCATCATCATCGTCATCATGATCGTCATCATCACCATCATCATCATCGTAATCATCATCATCATCGTCATCATCATCGTCATCATCATCATCATCACCATCATCATCATCATCATCGCCATCGTCATCATCATCATCCTTTTCATCAGCATGATCATCATGATGATCATCATCATCCTCATCATCAATCAAACATGCACCGCACCGACCACCTTCAGCCCAACCCCCCACAAGGGGGGTCGGCGGCACCCGGGCGCTAGCCCATTCTATTTTCCTTGGACTCCACACCAAACACCCTCCTATTCCTGTCAGGTGTAACTTTTTTTTTTGCGCGTCAGATGCGCTTCACAACAGAATTCGCAATGACAGTTCTGAGCAAGTGTGTGACTCATGCTGGATTTGTCAAGGTGGCATGAACCCTTCGGGGAATACCTTTCTAGGTCGGAACTTTGATCCTCCGACTTGATCTCTGAATTTACACTTTTAATCTAGTCATTCGTCTAAGTGAAACAGCTGGCCATTTTTCGCTTCTCGCCTTGTCGATTGCCGCCGTGTTGAACAGTTGCCTGCTGTTTGGGGTCTAACCTTTTTCCTTTGTGCTGATATGCATAGCTGGAAGCCGCGACAACCTTTTCCTATTTTCAGCAATGCTCGAGAGACAGACTCATGTCATTTTGGTCATGCAACATGTGACGACAGGCACAGGACATGCTTGCAGGTATGGTGATTCTTTCTTTTTATGGTCGTTGGTGAGGTTCAGTTGTGCATTAATTCGAGGGTTGACCACTTAAGCCGTCCAGAGGGTTGTGACTTGAACTTCGAGGGCCTTGAGCCTTATCACGAAATTTTGCATGCGTTTGTGGATGCATCAATTTTCATCAACTAGTTCCCCATTGATCCCCTATCTCATGCGTGCTCGCTCTCTAGGTCAGGTTTGGGTCCTTCGCGTGCCGAGGTAGGTTTTGGCTCTCGCCTTGTAGGTTGTGTCAGGCGCTTCTGTCCGCCCCCCCTCCTCTGGTCGGTGTTTGGCCCGTCGTCCGTCCGCTTTTTCTTTTCCCTGCCCTTTCAGGGTTTGCCCGCTCTGGGCTAGGTGTGTCGGTGTTGGTGTTTTCCCTTTTTCCTCTCCTCTTTTGCATTCCCCGTCTCGTGTCCCGGTTAAGTAGCTGTCATCTCATTTCCATCATCATCAATCATCTCATTTCCATTTCCCTTTCATCCTCACCTTCATCTCATTTGTCGGAGCCTTTAAAAAGCCCCGCTGCTGCGGGGCGTGTGTGTGAACTGAAGAGATGTAAAACTTCTAAGTTTCGCAGGGGGCCCATGGGCACTTGGGTGGCATGGGCCAACGAAGACCCATCCAAGTTGCTGTGCAAATGTACCTGCAATTTTTGAATCGTGATGGGGTGTGGCCAACCCAAGAACCACCATGGTCACCATGCCGTTTTTCAACGACAATCACATCAGGATTTTTGAATTCAGCACATGAACGGATGAATGTGACTTCTCATTTATCTGTCTGCACAGTTGGCGCAATCTGAGACTGCGGTGAATCTCTTGTCCACTCCAATTTTCTGCTTATATTTCGGCGTTCTTCCTGGCTTCTATTGATTTCATTCCAGTCTTCAAGGTAGCGAAAGAATTTTCCTTTCACTCAACACCAAACACCCTCCTGTTCCTGTATGTTCCTGTCAGGTGCAACTGGATTGTTTTTGCACGTCAGATTCGCTCCACAACAGAATTCGCAATGACAGTTCTGAGCAAGCGTGTGTGAGTCTGCAAGGCACCCAACCAAACCAGTTCAAACTTCCAATCGTGTTGCAGTTCGAGAAGAAAGAAAACTTAAAAGAAATTGAAACATCTTCGAACAATAAATTAAAGGACCGGATAACCCCACATGTCAACTTCTTCCAATAAGCAGCAAAAGAAAGGTAAAGATGGGATGGGAAATGCAGGAAAGAGATAAGAGATGGTGAAGGATCGGCGTGTGCAACAAATGTATGTCGAAGGGAGGTGCGTGAAAGGAGTGTATGCAATGGTGCGTAAAAGTGGTGTGTATGTGTGTGTGTGATAGAATCGTGCATGAAACAGCGTGTGTATGTGTGTGTGTGTGCATGCGTGTATGTGCGCAGTGTGTATGTGCATGAACTGCCGAAGCAGAAGGTGGACAAGTTGTAGGTGCCATAAGTGCCACGCCTGCCACGCAAAGTGAAGTTCGATGTCGCGAAGTGCCACGCCTGCCATGCAAACGGCGGCGGCGACCACGGCGCCCAACGAGGCCCAAGCGCGCCACCAGAGCCAGCCAAGTACGATAAGTGCCACATCTGCCACGCAGAATGCACGTCCATGTCGCCAAGTGCCACGCCTGCCACGCAAAGTGAAGGTCGATGTCGCGAAGTGCCACGCCTGCCACGCAAAGTGAAGGTCGATGTCGCGAAGTGCCATGCCTGCCACGCAAACGGCGGCGGCGACCACGGCGCCCAACAGGGCCCAAGCGTGCCACCAGAGCCAGCCCAGCACGATAAGTGCCACGCCTGCCATGCAGAATGCACGTCCATGTCGCCAAGTGCCACGCCTGCCACGCAAAGTGAAGGTCGATGTCGCGAAGTGCCACGCTTGCCACGCAAAGTGAAGGTCGATGTCGCGAAGTGCAACGCCTGCGACGCAAAGTGAAGGTCGATGTCGCCAAGTGCCACGCCTGCCACGCAAAGTGAAGGTGAAGGTCGATGTCGCGAAGTGCCACGCCTGCCACGCAAAGTGAAGGTCGATGTCGCGAAGTGCCATGCCTGCCACGCAAACGGCGGCGGCGACCACGGCGCCCAACAGGGCCCAAGCGCGCCACAAAAGCCAGCCCAGCACGATAAGTGCCACGCCTGCCACGCAGAATGCACGTCCATGTCGCCAAGTGCTGTGTGTGAGTAAGTTGTGTGGGGACAAGTTGTGTGTGGACAAGTTGTGTGTGGACAAGTTGTGTGTGTGAGTAAGTTGTGTGGGACGAGTTGTGTGTGTGTGTGAGGAAGGCGGCGGGAGCGGGTGGGAGCGGGAGCGGAGAGGCGGAAATGCACGACCAAAAACAAGAACCCCACACAAAGATGTGGGGAAAAATGGGAAAACATTCGGAGACAGTCTGCCATCCTCGATCTCCACGTGACCTCTGTTTGAAATTGATGCTGAAGCCTCGGACCCGTCGGATGCGAAGCAAACCACATGCAAACTCAAGAGATGCCCAAACTATGCCCAAAACCTCCAAAAACAGAACAGCCTGAAAACGCCAAAAATAAAACAACATAATTAATATGATAACATATGCTTCTTACTGCTCAATCAATATAATTACCACAGGATTCTATCACTTTTGTTCAGCTAGTGATCGACAATGATATAGGTACATAGGTGATGATCTGATGTATATATAATATATAGGCGATATTATATATGGCGCTTTTTCATGTTTTTTCATGTTTTTTCACTAGCAGGCTTCGGCCTTCTTGTGGATCTTATGGCTTCGCCACGCAAATGAAAGCTACACTGAGTTTTCCAAGCGCCTTTCGTTCAAACATAAAATCCTGTCAGCCAAGGACATTGCCGTTGGGCTGCTTTCTGGCTTGCTGTCGCAGCCTCAGGTGAACAAGCACAGTCTAGATCACTCTAAATTCGTGACCAAGGATGTCACTTGATATCATTTGAATTCATTTGATAATATTTGATGTCAACTGATGTCAGCATCTGTGTGAACTCTTCTCCACCAGGCACTGAGAGGAGTGCAACCCATCTTTGCACAAGCTCCTCTCAAAATTCTCAACAAAGCTCGACACTCAAGAAAAGTGGGGTTTGCGTTGCGCCGCATGATAACGACATCTGCAAAAGCATGTTGAAGCATGTGAAGTCTCCTCAAGACGGGTCACGGGCTTGTCCCAACAAAAAAGGGTTCACCAGTCCGTACTTTTTTCCACACAAAAGGAGTGCACTTTCTGCCAAAAATAGTGTTTATAAATTAAACATGTTGAACATATTAATATAACTTACTTGAACACTTCTAAACAGCAACTCTGGACTGCATGACATCATTGATGGCACGCGCGTGGGCCCCAATCTCTATGTCTCCATCAACATGCTTTCAAACGTTCAAATGATGTCATGCATTTCATTGCGACTGGTTAACCCTCGAGCCAAAGTTTTTTGCAAAGTTGTTTCCAGTTGACCAGCATTCCATACTTGTAGCATGCTCACCACTATATTGTATAACTACAATTCATGCTTGAAGCTTGACACTGCATGCAACCAACCCGCAAGATTCGTTGCTTTTTGAGGCACGCAATCCAACGCCAGTTTGTTCGGACTTGCCAAAGCCACGAAAATAATTGCTGCCATTTGGCAGCAAGGGGAAGCATTACTCTTGGTCGTCTTTGCCGCCATCTTTGCCTCTGCTACGACTTCTGCTTCGAGCATCAGTTCTGCCGGGCGCATCAGAGCCACCAATTGGCGCCATGCTCGGGCTTGTGGTACCCATGCTGCCAGGATTGCTCGCACCTCCCATTCCCTTTCCGCTGCACATGTTGCCTCCCATCGGCGAGCAACCCCCGCAGCAGCCCCCACAACAACCGCCACAGCCGCAACCGCAGCCACAGCCTGGGCAACCTCCACAACCACCACAACATCCTCCGCGGCCACAGCCGCAGCCCCCACACCCAGAGCAGCAACCGCCACATGGACAGCCAGAGCATCCACCGGGGCAGCAGCCACTGGGACAGCAACCTCCGCCACATCCTCCACAACACCCTCCACCACAACTGCCTGGGCATCCACATCCTCCGCAGCATCCGCTCGAGCAGCCTGTGGAGGTGCCTGAGCATCCCGGACAGCCACAGCCTCCAGAACAGCTTCCGGGGCCACTGCAGCAGCCACCTGAACAGCCCCCACAGCCACCGGAGCAGCAACTGCCAGAACAGCAGCCGCCGGGGCAGCCACCAGCAGGGCAGCCACAACCTCCACAACTGCAGCCAGGGCAGCCCCCAGAGCAGCCTCCAGAGCAACCGCCAGGGCAACCACATCCGCAGCCGCAGCCTCCACAGCCACAGCCCCCACAGCCACAGCCGCCACAGCCACAGCCGCCACAGCCCCCACAACCGCCACAGCCACCGCAGCCACCGCAGCCACCGCAGCCGCATCCACCACAGTTGCCGCAACCGCCGCAGCCGCATCCACCACAGTTGCCGCAACCGCCGCAGCCGCCGCAGCCTCCACAGCCTCCGCAGCCGCCACAGCCTCCGCAACCACAACCAGACTTCATGGCGTTCTGCATCATGCTGGCGGCCATCATGCCTGTCAAAGCACAGTTTAACAAATGGAAGGCACATGCCACAACACTCCCAGAATGACCCCAAGCCTTGCATCATGTTTTGCATCATCATCATGCCCGGCATCATGCCCATGCACCCGCTTTCTTCTTCCTCGCCGGCCTGATAGAGTGCGTGACTAAAGTTCAATACTATTGTTGAAGCATCTTGAAGCTGTGACATGCTCATTTCCCAGTGTGACCTCTCTTCTTTCTCTTGCAGTTACTTCAGCTTCCTAGCAGGGTCTGCACTTGAAAATGAAATCCTGGAAAACATCTAGGGCAGGGAACCTAACATGATTGTACATGTACCAACCTCAAATGCCTTTAACTCGCTGTAAAGGGTGCGCAGTTGTTGAGCCACCCCCTTTGTTTCACATCATGTCCTCTTGTGAAGTGGAGCAAAGTCTACAATTGATTGAGCCCATTGGTTGAGTAAATGACGACAAGAAGCAACTTCTGCTTGAAGCTTGATGTCATCCCAGGATTCTTCTCTTTTGTCGATGACCTCAATCAAACCAAAATGCAATGTGATGGAAAGAAATGGCATCAAAGACAAAAGTCGACATCTAAGGCATCCAATCTGCCTGCCTTGCAGTCTTCTATGAAGGCATCAATCAGTCTCTTGTGCTTCTCTTTTCCGATCACATTGCCATCTATGTCTACTTTCAAAACATCCTTCAGCTCTATGAAGGACTCCCGGTCCTGTTCGCTCGTGACAAGTGACAGCACGCAAAAACTTCAAAGAGCTTTTGTTGATGTACCGTGACTTCAATCCGACAGTTGCAACAGGTTCTTGGGATAGAATGCGCGCTCTCTGTCGAATGCTTTGGAATTTTTGAAGCACATTGTGCTACATGCAGTCCTGCCCTCCAATTCTCTTGTCAACTATTCTTCCTTCATAATGGCCTGTGTCATTCTCGTCGATTTCTTGCTTGATGGGCACTCTGTACCTGCAGCACATTCGGCGGCAATATTGACATGCATTGACTACATGAAATATGCATGTATATGATGTACTGTAGTATGCAGTGTCCACCTATAGTATAATAATGTATAATATAGAGATGCACAATCATACACAATCATAGGTTACTGTGTGCTAGATGGTGTACTCACTAACATAGACCCGGGCAAGCCGGCGGCGGAAGTTTCCCAAGAATAAATGACCTATAGTTCAAGGCCAGCCTGTCCCGAGCGTGTCCTTCCCTCGACAAGCGGTTTTTTTTTTCAGCGAGAGACGAAGCAAAGTCTTCACACTCCACACTTCACACTTCACTCTTCGCACTCCAAACTTCACACTCCACAGTCCACACTTCACACTTCTCACTTCTCACTGCTTCCTTCACACTCCAAACTTCACACTCCACACTTCACACTTCGCACTTCACAGTCCACACTTCTCACTTCTCACTGCTTCCTTCACACTCCAAACTTCACACTTCACACTTCTCACTTCGCACTTCACACTCCACACTTCACACTCCACACTTCACAGTCCACACTTCACACTTCTCACTGCTTCCTTCACACTCCAAACCTCACACTTCACACTTCTCACTTTGCACTTCACACTCCACACTTCACACTTCACACTTCTCACTTCGCACTTCACACTCCACATTTCACACTTCACACTTCACAGTCCACACTTCACACTTCTCACTGCTCACTGCTCACTGCTTCCTTCACACTCCAAACTTCACACTTCACACTCACTTCGCACTTCACATTCCACATTTCACACTTCACACTTCACAGTCCACACTTCACACTTCTTACTGCTCACTGCTTCCTTCACACTCCAAACTTCACACTCCACACTCCACACTTCACACTGCACTCTTTGCACTCCAAACTTCACACTCCACACTTCACAGTCCACACTTCACTTTCTAGTCATTTATTCTTGGGACACTAATGCCGTCACTTCTACTTCCCACTGTCATTACCTAAAAAGGGGCCAGTCCAAACAGTTACAATACTCATTGTCACTACAGTTACAGCCACAACGGTCATTGTCAAAGTAGTCTTTGTCATAGTATCTATGGTCACAGTAGTCATGATCAGAATAGTCACAGTCACAGTCACATCAGGTATGGTCACACTAATCAAAGTCACGGTGGTCATTTTATGGAGGTTATCAACATACAACCGCACGAACGATGGAATTACTTCACGCTCCACACTTCACACTTGTCACTTCTCACTGCTTCCTTCACACTCCAAACTTAAACTTCACACTCCACACTTCACACTTCTCACTTCCCACTGCTTCCTTCACACTGCACACTTCACACTGCACTCTTCACGCCCCACACTTCACACTGCTCTAAACCTACGTGCAACGGCGTCGGAAATTGTAGCTCCAAAACCGGATCTCGACGCCAGAGCGAAAAAAAGACGATTTTGAAGCACTTTTTAAAAGGATTTTTAGAAGGAAAATCACTAGTGCCAAAATGGAGAAAATCTGCTGACAAATCATTGTCGCAGCCTTCATGCAGCCACTCCAATACGATTTACGAAGTCCAGCTGCAAAAGACAATAGTATTACGCATGCAGCCTCAGCATGAAGCAACCTTGACGCAGCTATTACAATGCGATCTGCGGAGACTGAGTTGCAAAACACAATAGAACTACGCGCAATGGCGTCGGAAATTGTAGCTCCAAAACCGGATCTCGACGCCAGAGCGAAAAAAAGACGATTTTGAAACACTTTTTAAAAGGATTTTTAGAAGGAAAATCACTAGCGCCAAAATGGAGAAAATCTGCTGACAAATCACTGTCGCAGCCTTCATGCAGCCACTCCAATACGATTTACGAAGTCCAGCTGCAAAAAACAATAGTATTACGCATGCAGCCGCGGCACCAAGCAACCTTGACGCAGCCATTACAATGCGATCTGCAAAGACTGAGTTGCAAAACACAATAGAACTACGCGCAACTGGGTCGGAAATTGCAGGTCCAAAACCGGATCTCGACGCCAAAGCGAAAAAAAGACGATTTTGAAGCACTTTTTAAAAGGATTTTTTAAAGGAAAATTACTAGCGCCAAAATGGAGAAAATCTGCTGACAAATCACTGTCGCAGCCTTCATGCAGCCACTCCAATACGATTTACGAAGTCCAGCTGCAAAAGACAATAGTATTACGCATGCAGCCGTGGCAAGAAGCAACCTTGACGCAGCCATTTACACTGCGGGAACGATCCTACAGTTGCAAAGCACAATGGAATTCCATCGGCAACTCATCCCCCAGCACCACTTGCAATCCCATTTACATTGCGGGAACGATCCTAGAGTTGCAAATCACAATGAAATTCCATCGGCAACTCATCCACCAGCACCACTTGCAATCCCATTTACATTGCGGCAACGATCCTACAGTTGCAAAGCACAATGGAATTCCATCGGCAACTCCTCCACCAGCACCACTTGCAATCCCATTTACAGTGAGGGAACGATCCTAAAGTTGCAAATCACAATGGAATTCCATCGGCAACTCATCCACCAGCACCATTTGCAACCCCATTTACAATGCGGGAACGATCCTACAGTTGCAAATCACAATGGAATTCTGCCGACCACACATGCACGAAAAACAGTTGAAACCCCATTTACAATGCGGAACCGATCCGACCATGATCCGCCCATGATCCGAACATGATCCGAGCATGATCCGACCACACACGAGACCGTCTCGCACCCGTCGCACCGCAGAGGTAGATCATCGACGTTCGGGGACGGACTTTGTATGGAAAAACATAGGGTTTCGTGCATCTGCTATCTCTCAAAAACGCATTTTGTGCGAGACTTCCTCCAAAACTCCATCGGCAACTCCTCCACCAGCACCACTTGCAATCCCATTTACATTGCGGGAACGATCCTACAGTTGCAAATCACAATGCCCTGACTAACTCTTTCCCTCACTAACTCTTTCTTTGACTAACTCTTTCCCTCACCAACTCTTTCTTTGACTACCTCTTTCTTTGACTACCTCTTTCTTTAACTAACTGTTTCTTTGACTAACTGTTTCTTTGACTAACTGTTTCTTTGACTAACTGTTTCTTTGACTAACTCTTTCTTTGACTAACTCTTTCTTTGACTAACTCTTTCTTTGACTAACTCTTTCTTTGACTAACTCTTTCCCTGACTAACTGTTTCTTTGACGAACTCTTTCTTTGACGAACTCTTTCTTTGACTAACTCTTTCTTTGACTAACTCTTTCTTTGACTAACTGTTTCTTTGACTAACTCTTTCTTTGACTAACTCTTTCCCTCACTAACTCTTTCTTTGACTAACTTGTTTCTTTGCTAACTCTTTCTTTGACTACCTCATATATCCTGACTAACTCTTTCTTTGACTAACTCTTTCCCTCACTAACTCTTTCTTTGACTAACTCTTTCCCTCACTAACTCTTTCTTTGACTAACTCTTTCCCTCACCAACTCTTTCCCTCACTAACTCTTTCTTTGACTACCTCTTTCTTTAACTAACTGTTTCTTTGACTAACTGTTTCTTTGACTAACTGTTTCTTTGACTAACTGTTTCTTTGACTAACTCTTTCTTTGACTAACTCTTTCTTTGACTAACTGTTTCTTTGACTAACTGTTTCTTTGACTAACTCTTTCTTTGACTAACTGTTTCTTTGACTAACTGTTTCTTTGACTAACTCTTTCTTTGACGAACTGTTTCTTTGACTAACTCTTTCTTTGACTAACTCTTTCTTTAACTAACTGTTTCTTTGACTAACTGTTGCTTTGACTGACTGTTTCTTTGACTAACTGTTTCTTTGACTAACTCTTTCTTTGACTAACTCTTTCTTTGACTAACTGTTTCTTTGACTAACTGTTTCTTTGACTAACTCTTTCCCTGACATTCTAAAAGTCCGTAACACGGAAGTTTCTCCCCCTAAACTTCCTTTGATAAATCATGCAGGAAACAAATAACAAGTAAATTCAAATAATACTAAACGTATAAACATGATATGATACGCGAATCTATATACATATATATATATATGTATGTATATATGTGTGTGTATGCTTGTGATATCTTATGATAACATTTACATAATTATACATATATACGTTATTATTTATTTACGTTATGTGCCGCTCTTAATGCACAAGCACAACAGACACGGGTCATGTGCTGATGGCTGAGCTCCAGGCGATACAGCAACCCAGCTGCCCATCTTGATGCCTTTGGTCATCAGGCGCCGCTGGCCTGGAAGGGTCCAACAAGGTCCCTTCATCATCCTTCATCCAAAAAACGTGATAAAACATGGTAAAACATGGTAAAACAATGTAAAACATGGTGACCAAAAATTTGCCGGATTTTTTTTGGAAACATCTAAGGCTCTAAGACCTCAGACATCTGGAAATTGCATCTGATGATATCTGATGGCATTCGGCTGCTACTGCGATTACGATTAGGAAATTATGCCAATCATGTCAATCATGTCAATCATGTCACATGTGCCATGGATGCAGTCTATGTGGAACATTGTTCTTCTATACTTTTTTGTATTAGCAGCGCCGGGTGAGCAAAGTCCAAAAGATTCACAAGCGCATGCAACCCTTGTGGGCGTCAAATGTGGGCATCAAATGTTGGACGGGAGTCCTTTGCCAATGACTCTGGTGGCCCCAGCGCAGCCACCGCATGGCCCTGACCTAAGTTGAGGATAGTTGAGGATAGTTGAGGTATAAAATGGATCAACATTGAAGATCATTGAAGCGCGTGGAATTGCGTGGAAGCATTTTGGATCATTTTGGCCGCTTGAAGCACTATGTGCTATCGGCTCCCAACGCGACAGGCATCCCCGATTGAATGAGTTCATGTTCGGTCCTCTCACTCCTAAGCCTAATTACAGGATGTTGTTGCAATGAGTCCTCAGTTTGCGGCATCGCCCGTGCTGCTGTCAGGGCCTCTGTGCAGCTTGCAGCGGTTCAAGGAACAACCCAAACTCACGTGCAAGTCTTTAGCATCCTGGACCCAATGCCCTTTCCAGACTATGAAGCGTGAAGCTACAAGTTACTGTAATGAAATCTACAACGACTAAACGCATTCATATATAATTACATAATATTGCATATAGAAATATATATTATTATAGAATCATATAATCAACCCCGCCCAAATACTAAAAACTATTGTCCATCTCCAATTTTGAAAAATTTCAGATTGGCCAATTTGACTTTTAATTGATCCCCTTTAGTTTGACTTTTAATCGATCCCCTTTAGAAAACAATTTAAAAATAAAGCTATCATTTGTGGGTTTTTCCCCCTAATACTAAAAACTAGTTCACCCCGGGGTGTTTATTATTAGGGTCCGTCCGATTTTTTTTAAGTTTTTTATATTATGATATATTTAGGTTTTTAATTTAGTATTAGGGGGAAGCTTCGAAATCCAATTTTGGCAATATTTTAATTGCGTTATATAAAGAAATTTAATTGATTTTGAGATCGGAAAAAATAGTTTTTATTAAGGGTTAAATTTTATTAATAGGCTTCCCTAATAATAAATACCCCCCTACTAAAAAAATCCTGCCGTGTTTATTAAGGGGGGGACGTTTAGTACTAGGAGGAAGGGATGATGAGGAAGCGACAGTAAGAGGATGCAAGAGACCCGGCCTGGCCACACGGCCTTTGCCAGCTTCACCTTGGCACAGTCACCCGATGTCACCCGCTACCCCCGTGGAAAAAGTTCTATAAATCAGAGGGCCCCCAAACATGGTGTAGAATGATCTAATATGATCTAATAATGATGTACAATATTGTACAATGTATCGAATGAGCTCGATTTATATCACCAGTTTGGCTCCCAATTGCAAGGGAAGTCTGTGATGAAGTCTGTGATAACTGAGATGACCATTGCCGCTTTCGTGCCTGCAGGTGCCTTGCTTAGACAAGGGCCGGCGATGGCACGGAGTGCGCCGTTTCCAGGCTCATCTGCATTGAGCCAAAGCAGCTGCAAGCACGCAGGCTCCGAAGAACATCGAAGAACAAGGTCTAAAGATGTCTAAAGGATAGTCCGCGATGTGAAAAATTGTGAAAAGCTGTCAAGAAGTGTTCGAATTTGCAGTGCTGCCCTCGGCCTTCAATAACCTTATATAATCTTCAATGTAACACTCTCTCCAGGATGCACTGCGCTACTCCTGCAGCAGCAAGCGCATGGCAGCTCCTTTTTGGATGAGCATTACATTGCGCAGCTGTCAGACCAGGATTGACGACCCCAGCACAGGTAGCACCTGCAAGCTAATGTGACCGCAAAATGCTATATAATTGTTTGTAATCTCAAAGGATGTCAAAGACAATCAAGACCGAGATATCTCCCGCTTCTGCCAATCCCGCTCTTGCTACTCTACCTGTGGATGTCATCGTGATGTCATCTGTAAGCCTGAATCTATCAGTGGCAGTCCAGGCCTTTCCCGACGGACCTCTTGCTGGTTCAATGCCAGGATTTCTGCCAGCACACCACCTCTGTGTGTGGCCGTGGGCAATAATTAAATGATATTAAATGGCGTTTTCTAATGTAATTGTCATATGTTCATAGCCGGGGAAGTAGGTTGCTGGGATCCCAACGTGATGTCCCACATCCAATTCTCATCAACCACGCTGGTTGAAGATATTCTTGCCATCGCAGCTGCTAGCTGAACGGCACGGCTGAGAAAGGATCAAATTCCAAACACCACCAAGTTTTTAATCACAAAGCTGGGAACAAGTGACATGTGTTGTTTCTTTGTTAAGCGATCTGCTTGGTGTGACCTGCGGGGTTAGCCGGTTGGCAGCTGTTCATGATGAATCGGTTCTTTTTCATTTCTTTTGATGGTGATGTTTTTGGAGATGAACCTGTCACAAATCCTGTCCCTGCAAAAACTTTTCGTTGACCTCCCCCAGATGTGGATTGCATCTTTGAGCCTCGGTGTCATTGAGGTCTTGACCTTAGTCTTCAGAAGGCCAAGCTTCTCAAACGCAAGGACTGTCCTGGAGGTAGATCACGTTGTCTTTATACATATATGAAAATATATCAAATTCATTCAAGTTCAATATCATTTCAAGTCCACAAAGTCTCAAGCGATCCTTGGGCCACTGACCATAACGGATCTTGATGGCATTCCGCACTCGCTCCAGCTCTTTGGGGATCAGATCCATGACCAAGTCCTGGGGCCATCGATAAAGAATGATCTAGGATGATCTAGGTCATTGATGGGGGGGTGTGTGATATAGTTGGTTATACACATATTATATATATATGTGTGTGTGTGTTTATTTATTTATATATATATATACATAACTATTGTTCAGATGTAAAAGCAAAAGGTATGCTAATGGAGTGCCTGTGTGCGATGCTATCTAGTTCAAACTTCTTGCATGTAGCATATGGATATGTATAATTATATGCGATACTTGTCGTCGCTTGTGAATAATTGATCTACAGTAATTGCCTAGGAAATGGTGACCTCAGGACTTGTGAAGACAAACATGGGACCTTTAAAATACGACTTCCCCAACAAACTTGCACGACAGTCGTTCCAGCAACCACAACCAGCCTTTCGCTGAAGCGTAGGGTCAGCGCACACAGCGGAGACCTGACGGGAACTGTCTGAGAGGCTCTTGGGCTGCTTCAAGACAAGGTAAACAAGAATAAGAAGCATCTCATCTACGCCGCTATATGCAAACATCAATTGACATTCTGCATCTATATGCATCTATGATCGTTTCAGCATCATATCCAGCATGATAGTGCCACAACATATTGCTACTGACTCCCTATTGAAAGAAATTGAAAGGGCACCTCCCACAAAAGCACAGAGAGACGCTGATGCTGGAAGCAGCCAGGATGGGTTTGACCCACCTCAACTGTCAACTTTATTAATGTTCCAAGCTGATAAAATGTGAAGCACGTTTCTTCTACCACAATATGCGGCATAATTTGAAAGGTGATAATCGTGATAATGCTATGGAATGCTGCGCGAATTGCGCGACATTCTCAGGCTTTTGCCGCTTCAAGGATGCGATTGACTACTCTTCGCTGTGCCTTGAAAGCTCCGTGCCCCGCTCACAATTCCAGAAGTTATGAGTTGTTACGAGGCGATGCATTCTGTCATATTCTGTCATATTCTGTCCCTGGCCCGGCCTCAACATCTTTAGATAATCGCAGTAGCGTTAGCAATTCGCCATATTGCCCCTGCACAAGAGGTGTGATGCCAAGGACGTCAACACTGCATGAACTGCTTTGTCTTTTGTCTTTCAAAATGTTCAAAATCCAAGACACACACAGTCAGCATAATCAGCATACACTCAGCATACAGGCAGTAATTACTCAGGGTTTCTCTCAGCATCACTGGGCAACAAGGCCAGGTGATTGGCAATGAGCCAATGGCGATGTTCGTCAGGCATCTCTAGAGCGTCCACCTGGACAAATCAGCTATCCAAGGTGCAGGGAATCGCACGACCACGCCCGAATCTGCCCGACCTGTTCTTCAAAGGCGATCACTGCGTCAAGCAAGTCTTCCACCAAATCTGGTTTCACATCTACTAACCTAAGCAGCGGTTAAGACTGTTTTGTTCTTCAGATTGACATAACTCGTTGTCCACATGCCACCTCATGCCGTGCAAGGACTAAGCCGACTAAGCCAATCTACTCTGGCTCGTTTCGTTCCGGAAAGAACTTTCTCAGCTCTTCAATGTCTGCATCTGTAGGCGCTCCTTTCAGATTCTTGAAGCGATCTGCCAACCCGAGCAGGCCTCACATCAAGCTGTCTGGCGAGGAATATCTGACAATTTGTCTCTGTTTGTGCAAGTAGCTCATTTCGAAGGTCAGACTCATTCAAACTCTACATGTTTTCACATTTCCCGGCCTGATTCATACTCTTTGTTGAGTTGCTCGTTGTCCTCCAAGAACACGACCAAAAAATTGGTCTTGACATGTCTTGACAGAGGTGAAAAGCTAGGGCCCAAGCACGAATTGCATCATACTCTTTCTGCAACTCCTGACCCACATATGTCCAAAACGGTACAAGTATGGCTGGCCCTGAAACTGATGCCGCATAGAAAATGCGTGCTCTCCCTTTATGGTCTTGACCCCAACCAACCTTTGCATCACGACAGAAATGCACAGGTTTGAGAGACACTGAGAGCACCTGTTTTCGTTCTTCAAGTTTCAGGTCCAGTGTCTGCAGAACAGCTTGGGTTCTGCTCCGCTGCTTTTCAAACCTTCTCAGCCATCCGGCAAGACTGACACATTCTCACAGCAGTAAGCTTTCTGTGCTCAGCGGGAGGCCTGATTTGGAGATCTGCGGCTGCAGAAGCCTTATGTCAGATTAACTCCATTGACCTGCCTCCTTCAGAGCAGTGTGCAGTGATCAGAATGGTGATCAAAGGAACCCATGACATTCCACAAATCCCTTAATAGAAATAGAAATATACTGAAATATATAATATTATAATTATAATGCTAAGCCTCATACAGCCCGCGCACCGAAGGAGGCTTCGGCTTCACATCTTGGACACCTGGCACGAACTCAGAAAACATAGAAGGGATACAGACTCTCTCACCAGCGCTCTGTCTTAGCGACTGCCATTGTGATTCTTGCGAGCCCATGCTGCAAAAGTATCTGCAAAATGCAACAAATGTCCCTGTTGTGGAACACTGCATGATCACAACATGTCACATCGGCCTGCACCAAAAGCCCTCTCCAGTATTGGTGAACTTTTCTTGCCGCATCTCCAGAGGGTACCACAGATCATACATAGCGAAGGTCACCTGGCGTACTTGTTTTGAGGTGACAATGAAGAAGGCGAAATAAACAAATGCAGATCTGAATGGGAGTGTTCAGAATTGTTCAGAGAATTGGTTGCAGAAGCCAATAGGTCTGTGTTGTTCCGCCATTGCAAGTGTCAAGCATATGTCAAATAATTACTGCCAATGCATCAAAACACTCCAAATTGAGTTGTATATATATAATTATATATAAACTATACTGTATAAATGCCTTTGCAGTCAAAGTCAATCTTTTGCCATATTTGTTCGAAGCTTGTGCACAGTCTATGCCATATTGGTTAGTGCGGTTAGTGGATGTGTGACTTTGATGCCACGCCTCCTCACCAGCCTTGAGTGGCCTAGATGCTCGCGCAAGCATGACGTCGCCCCAAATCGTGTAGGTAGCTGCACCAGGAATCGTGCAGTCATCGTGGAACAGAGTCAGCTAAGCTAAACCCAACTGGAAAAGCTGAAACTTATGATATACCTACAATGCACATCGATGCACTCACAACATCGTACCTCTATACAATATAATTATATAACAATAAGATATGATATCTATATATTATCTGCTTACGCCACTGGCTCAGCACCAAATGCAATGTTTTCTGACTTGCCTGAGGGTGTGCAGCTATGCCTTGCCATTGCTGGAAGCCTGGTGAAGTTGACAAGACATACACGCTGCCATACTGAGAAGAATACTGTATCAGTTTCAAACAAAAATCTTCAAATGCCAGTATCTTCAGCATCATGCAAGAATTTACACATGTGATACATGGATAGCCATAGCCAGCGTCGACGGTGTTAGATATTGAGTGTGATAGTTTGAAATCTGGATGAGTCTAGTCAACGGAACATTGGAACATATTGGAACAATGGTAGACTGTGCACACTGCAGCAACATGAGCTAGCCAAGCAACGTCCAAATGCCACTGTACTTCTTCCCTGTGAGAATTTGCGTGCGGAGAACGAGCTTCTCGCACTCCTGTTCTCATCTGAAGGCGGGATATCGCGGGATGTTGCAATTTCTGTCTGCCTTGCCCCTGACCACGCATCAAACGCATCCAACAAAGCCTTCGCGCCATGACATGCCTGGACATGCTTTCACCATCTTTCACCTTACTTGTTGCCGTTCCATATGCCACCTGTATTCGCCTGTCCCTTCCGCGAAAAAGGAGGCACCGCCAAACATCTGAAGGCTTGGAATCAACAGGGCTTCTTCATCCTTCTGCCCAGTCCTGGAGATGCTTTACCATCTCATCCGGATCTGTGCTCCAAGGCGCCTCTCTCACCACCTTGTGTTGGTGTCAGTCAATTTGGATGAAAAACGGATAATGTTTGCACCTGATTAAAGAGATGGTACCCTATTGTGAGAAATTTCTTGCTCCTAATTCAGTCACATGCCAATTGTTGGGGGGGGGCCTCTATTGTGAGAATTTTTTTCCAGTTTTTTTTTTAAAAAAAAATATTTTTCCAAATGCTTTAATTAACTTTACTTTTCTTTTTAATTACTTTTCTATTTATGTTTATTTTTAATCAATTTTATTTTAGATGCCTTATCAAACCCTTATTTAAAAAAACAGCATCCAGACAATTTTTCAAAGGGGTACCTCATGAGTGGCTCAGTTACTCAATAATATAATTGTTTGGATGGTACTCTATTGTGAGCACCAACTTTTGGGATTGAAAAAAAAAACAAAACCCTTTATTAAACCCTTATTTAAAAACAGCATCCAGACAATTTTTCAAAGGGGTACCTCATGAGTGGCTCAGTTACTCAATAATATAATTGTTTGGATGGTACTCTATTGTGAGCACCAACTTTTGGGAGTGAAAAAAAAAACAAAACCCTTGATTTAAACTTATTAAATAAAAACAGCATCCAGACAATTTTTCAAAGGGGTACCTCATGAGTGGCTCAGTTACTCAATAATATAATTGTCTGGATGGTACTCTATTGTGAGCACCAACTTTTGGGAGTGAAAAAAAACAACAAAAACCTTTCTCCACCTTTCTTTGGGTAAAGCTGGCCCCTTTACTGTAGAAAGCCATAGTTGTGTTAAAGCTTTAAAATGCAAGGTTTCCCAAATAATTAGATGCCTTATTAAACCCTTATTAAAAAACAGCATCCAGACAATTTTTCAAAGGGGTACCTCATGAGTGGCTCAGTTACTCAATAATATAATTGTCTGGATGGTACTCTATTGTGAGCACCAACTTTTGGGAGTGAAAAAAAAAACAAAACCCTTTCTCCACCTTTCTTTGGGTAAAGCTGGCCCCTTTACTGTAGAAAGCCATAGTTGTGTTAAAACTTTAAAATGCAAGGCTTTCCAAATAATTAGATGCCTTATTAAACCCTTATTAAAAAACAGCATCCAGACAATTTTTCAAGGGGGTACCTCATGAGTGGCTCAGTTACTCAATAATATAATAGTCTGGATGGTACTCTATTGTGAGCACCCACTTTTGGGAGTGAAAAAAAAAAAGCAAAACCCTTTCTCCACCTTTCTTTGGGTAAAGCTGGTCCTTTCACTTTAGAAAGCCATATTTGTGTTAAAGCTTTAAAATGCAAGGTTTCCCAAATAATTAGATGCCTTATTAAACCCTTATTAAAAAACAGCATCCAGACAATTTTTTTCAAATCAAGGGGTACGCAAGAACCGTGGAATCATAGTGTCCTCAGTAGATCCATCGTCTACCATAATTACGTTGTTTTTTGTTATTTTCGCCTAAAACTCCTCTCTTGGATCAACCACACCTGTTTTTGATTGAAAAAAAAACAAAACCACCCGTCTTTCTCCACCTTTCTTTGGGTAAAGCTGGTCCTTTCACTTTAGAAAGCCATATTTGTGTTAAAGCTTTAAAATGCAAGGTTTCCCAAATAATTAGATGCCTTATTAAACCCTTATTAAAAAACAGCATCCAGACAATTTTTCAAAGGGGTACCTCATGAGTGGCTCAGTTACTCAATAATATAATTGTCTGGATGGTACTCTATTGTGAGCACCAACTTTTTGGAGTGAAAAAAAAAACAAAACCCTTTCTCCACCTTTCTTTGGGTAAAGCTGGCCCTTTCACTTTAGAAAGCCATAGTTGTGTTAAAGCTTTAAAATGCAAGGTTTTCCAAATAATTAGATGCCTTATTAAACCCTTATTAAAAAACAGCACTCAGACAATTTTTCAAGGGGGTACCTCATGAGTGGCTCAGTTACTCAATAATATAATTGTTTGGATGGTACTCTATTGTGAGCACCAACTTTTGGGAGTGAAAGAAAAACAACAAAACCCTTTCTCCACATTTCTTTGGGTAAATTAAAAGTAAATTAAAAGTAAATTGAAATCAATTGAAAGTAAATTAAAAGTAAATTGAAATCAATTGAAAGTAAATTAATTAATTAAAAGTAAATTGAAATCAATTGAAAGTAAATTGAAATCAATTGAAAGTAAATTAAAAGTAAATTGAAATCAATTGAAAGTAAATTGAAATCAATTGAAAGTAAATTAAAAGTAAATTGAAATCAATTGAAAGTAAATTGAAATCAATTGAAAGTAAATTAAAAGTAAATTGAAATCAATTGAAAGTAAATTGAAATCAATTGAAAGTAAATTAAAAGTAAATTGAAATCAATTGAAAGTAAATTGAAATCAATTGAAAGTAAATTAAAAGTAAATTGAAATCAATTGAAAGTAAATTGAAAGTAAATTAAAAGTAAATTGAAATCAATTGAAAGTAAATTGAAAGTAAATTAAAAGTAAATTAAAAGTAAATTGAAATCAATTGAAAGTAAATTGAAATCAATTGAAAGTAAATTAAAAGTAACTTGAAAGTAAATTGAAAGTAAATTGAAATCAATTGAAAGTAAATTAAAAGTAAATTGAAATCAATTGAAAGTAAATTGAAAGTAAATTAAAAGTAAATTAAAAGTAAATTGAAATCAATTGAAAGTAAATTGAAATCAATTGAAAGTAAATTAAAAGTAACTTGAAAGTAAATTGAAAGTAAATTGAAATCAATTGAAAGTAAATTAAAAGTAAATTGAAATCAATTGAAAGTAAATTAATTAATTAAAAGTAAATTGAAATCAATTGAAAGTAAATGGAAATCAATTGAAAGTAAATTGAAATCCTTTCTTAATTTGATTGACCAAAAAAATGTTGAGGGGGGGCAAAAAAAAGTGCGAGTTATAGAGTATCCTCAAATTGTTTGGGGGGGGGGGCCCCTCACACTAATCAGATGCAAACATTATGAATAATTAGAACACATCCAGACTTAAACATATTTAAACATAGCTTTGGCCTTATATGCTGATCTGATAAAGTAGAGCTGGGGGTCGACGCAGAAAATTGAAGACTTGACATCAATGTCGTGGGAATTCTTCCCCCGGTTGTACGAAGGCCTTGGGATTCCGCAGTGCTTCCATGACAGCGTCGCTGGTCGAGTCATCCCACTCGCTGTTGTCCAGGAGGATATCCACCAATTTCGCTTGTCTGGGTGACCTGGCAGTCGCATTCCAAAGTCCAAACAAAAGGATACCAAAGGTGTGTTTTGAGAAATGCCCACACAATCAAAAATGAGAAATGGTCTATCCTCCGTTGGCTCTACTGCTGCCAAGCAGACAGTGTGGTTGCAGTGACCAGAGAAGTCTTGAGGCGGGCAATGTCTTCAGCCTGCTAGTGGAATGGACACCAAGATACAGTAAGGCTTTGGTCAATAGATGTCAATAGATCTTTTTTGAAATCATTTGGCAACCTGACATTGCTGGATCCTTGCAGCTGCAAAAAGGCTGCAAAGGCTGAAGCCCTGGCCCTGTCGAGACTTGCAAAGGCTAAGGCATTTTGGACGAACAATGGATCACCCGCCTCAAAGAGACAGCTGCCATGGAATGTGCAAATACTGTTCGGAGTCAACATGAGCCAACCGGCAAAAACAATGTGAGCATGTACACCCGCGTGCAAATAGACAATGTATGGATATGCATGGATCTGGAATCTATAGAGAGTTATATACAATTATATACAATTATATACATACGTTGGTTTGCCGTGATCTACCATTGGCTTACTATACACATCTATACATACACACCATGCACGAGCCTCCACATCTTGGGTGACCACGAGCTTCCTGGGATGAGAGGCGCCGCCTCCAAGTTCTTCCGGCTCAGCTTGGACCACTTTCACAGGGCCAATCGAGTCCGCAAAATTGGGCAAGAAGAAATGAGGCGGCCTCAAGCGAATCACAGCAAATCCAAGCAAATCCAAGCAAATCTAGGAATCAAATGGCGGCAAGCAATGCAGCACTGCAGCAAGCTAATCCAGTCAGTCGAGCACTTTGCTAATGTTACATCAATGCATCGAAAAAGTGCCACATCGTACTGGGGTATCCGGGAAAATCTTGACAACAATTCTTCTGAAAGCATGCATGGTTGATCGTCAAGAACCGTAGGCCAGTTTCGACTGTGACAGAACATGAGGCAAGTTGAAGCAAGTACCATCTAGGACCTAGGAAAATGTTGTTGGACACCAATGGTGTGTTCATCTGACATCGGTGCAAGGAAAGCCCCCTGCCTCGCTCCAGTAAGTACAGTAGCAGGCCGGGCGCTGAGGTTGCAGGGCCGGCAAGCCTGACAGCAATTGGCACCTGTTGCTTGTGGCTATCATGGTGACATGGTGACATGGTATCGCATGGTGCGGCATGCTTGACACAAGAGCACCGCCGCTTCATGGATGATGCATGAGAATGCCATGCCAAGTCCTACCTCGACTTTGCTCTCCTCTGTTTTACGATGCTCCAGCAGCTCATCACATCGCCACACACATTCTTGAAGTTCAACAGAGACGTCACGAATTCCATCTCCTACAGGTCGAGTGAGGTCACACGCTCCCAGAGCGTGACCAAGAATTACTGGTACCAATTGGTTAGTCCCATGTCACCGTTTCATACCCTGCATAACCCTGCGCTCACAGCTGTTTTGCAGTTTGCAATGTGTTGCATAAATTTGCAGCATTTTTCTTCACCGTGCCATACCGTGCCACTCTTCCATGTTCTTCCGCTTGCTGGGCCTTCCATTTTCGTGACCTCTTTGTAAAGCTGTGCAAAACGCACACGTGCTTCCTTGACCTGCTCAGAGTCCTGGAGTTGAGAATGTTTCATGGCCAAAGGCAAACGGTGCCAGGTGAATTATAATGTGAATTCACTTCATCTCAGTGCAAGCAAGTTTAAGTTTAAGGTGTATTTACAAAGCACATCAAAGCACATCAAGGTCCAACAAAACGCAGCTGATCGCAACTGTACCTGGCTGCCGGCTTGTGCGAAAGCTTCGGCGCAACGAGGGTTCAACGACTGCGGCTCAAAAGCAATCCACCGCCGAGCAGCTTCCAAAGCAGCGTCCCACAGCCTGGGAGAACACAGTGCAACTTTCGCAACTTCCACCAACAAACAGGCACAAACAGGTACAAACAAGACACACCAGCTGCCGGTTCGCTTTATACTGATGTAGTCTAAGTAGGGGAAAAGGCATTTTCCAACGCCGCCATACCTACTAGGAGAAGACTGGCACCAGCGCTAGGAACCTCAAATATCTCCAAAATCATCAAACATAATATATAAGTATGGTTTTTTGTGGTTTGTCCCGCCCTTTGATTGGCTAAGTCCCACTTTACCTCGCGATGGATCACAGGGAAAAACGCATACTTGTTTGTACATCTTTGCATCATCCTAGGATTCCTAGGTCATGGGCACACGACCTGCTGACCTGAAACCAAGCTGCTTCAAACGCAGCCGTCCCAGTGTTCGCATTCGCCAGACTTCGGCATCATGCGGTTTGACCGCCAATAAGTCTGTGCCTAAGGTATTTCGGAGATTTTCGGAGCTTGAATGAAGACCGAAGAAAACATCCAGTGTCCAGCGTGTGATCAACTTTCTCTATAGAATACCGTATATAGAGCACTCAAGTATTCTGAAGCTGAGATGCATGTCTTTTCCATCAACTGAATCTCGCCCCGGTCATAGGTTTCCATCATGAGGGTCTTGTCGACACGGTACTTCTTCTCCGGGTCTTCTTTCATGGTGCGGTCCTTCACCTCGATCACCTTGAGATTCCTGAATCATACCAAAGAAATTTCCATCATATCGTAGTACTTCTACTTCAGGACTACACCAACACGAAATGTAAAATTGTATTTGTGAGACTGCAACCTGCCGGCCAAAGACCGTGGTATGAACAGCCAAAAAGATCCAAAAAGTGAGAATATAGATATACCATCAGGCAGCAGATCCAAGAGGATCATCAAGAAAAATATCCGAGAAAACAGGGACTAGGCAAAATGATAAAAGGGGTGGAAATCAGGCCCGATTTTACGCGCTGGAACCCATAAGTTGGCATAAAGGCTGAGAGCGTCGCCACTGCATAGCAAAAGCATGGGCGGCCCAGGAATGGGCACCATTCAAAATGTAGAAATGGAATGAAATAGAAAACATGAAACTAATGGCACTCGAAGAAATAGATGTGTTCATCTCAGGATGGCACGACGGATCGTAGTCCATGCCTTGATCCTCTAGCCATTCTCTGGCAAATTGCTGAAGATCCCTCAGCGCTGACATGCGCTGACGCAACTACAACTCCAAAGTGCCTAAGCCTTGCAAAAATCCAATGTGCTATGAAGCACCATGAAGCACTATCTTGCCAAAAACAATAAACATGTATATATATTAGTGACGCATGCATGCCAGCATGCTAACACATGAAGACAGAATGGACAAACCATGACAAACCAAACATCAGTCCTCATCAACCAACCAACAAATACCAACAATCTAGTGACTATAGATACTATAGTGCAAGTGAGTTGCTCTTCCTGTTCTTCTGAGCGGCCACTTTTCAAAATAACCTCCTTGTCTGGGGAGACCGCCATGATGTTGCGGACGAGCTGGCAGGGGCATCCGTTTCAAGTCCACCGACAGCATGTGCAATTGATTGTATATGGGTCAACATGGGTCAACTTCCCAGCAAATCAACATAAATGTGCCAAATCAAAACATTTCAAAACATTTTGTATGGGGTCCGGTCATCCATCCCATCATGGGAATCCTTTTGAAGAGTGCAGCATGCAAATCTCTATGAATTGATTGATGATGATTGATGACCATACCATACCATACCCCAACATGGGCAATTTATCATCATTCATCCAAGCTTTGGCTATGCCACACATCACTACGGGCACAAGGAAAACCTATGAGCCTATGGTGTGGGAACTATTTTCTCCCAATGGCCACTCAGAACGGATGGCATCTGAGAACCACACATCGTCTTCTTCTGCATGGCACGTCACTGCACCTACCTGCACAACTGCACAACTCCCTCTCTGCAACATTCCTATGGATTCTGGATGCAAAATGATGCAAAATCCGCCCACACCGCTTTGGCGGTGAAGGCGTGCTTATTGGGGGGCAACAGCAACACTAAATGCTCAATGACATTTGTTAATATAGCAGTCGCTATATCAGCTTTAGCTGGGGGGGGGGGCCAAAAACGGTTTCGCACCGAGACCAGAATTTCGCACCGAGACCAGAATACGGTGGTGTTTTCGACATTTTTCGAGGATTTTTGGGTGTCTGAGCGCAAGAGGGTATTGAAATGGAATTTTGGGTCATTTTGGTAGCTTTCCGGCAATGGAAAAACGGCCAAAAATGAAAAAAAACATTGTACATAGCAAGAATTTGCAGGGTTTTTGGATGCCAGAGCATTGAAAACACTGCAAAAACAAGTGTTTTGGACTGACGTTATAGCAAAAAACGTGTAAATTACCGTATGCTTGACTGGAAACATTACAAAAACACTGTCAAAAGCAATGTTTTGGAAGGATTTACTGCCTTTATGGCAAAAAACGTGTAAATTACCGTCTGTTTGACTGGAAACATTGGAAAAACACTGTCAAAAACAATGTTTTGGAAGGATTTCTTATATATATATATATGTTGGAGTTGGCTACCGGCATTGGAACATGGAAAAATTGAAGAAAACACTGTAAATAGCGGTATTTTCAACGGTTGGGGAGATAAGGGAATTGGAAGCATTGTCGAACATGATGTTTTCGACCGGTTTTATGGCGACAAAAGTGTAAAGTACCGTGCTTTGAAGGAAACCATTGCAAAAACATGGAAACACATTCAAAGAACACGGGATTTGGGGGACTATCTAGGCGTCGTTGTCTAGCTATTTGAAATTCCGCAGCTTGGAGAGCCTCCAAGGGAGGGAAAAGTGAAAATTCCATAGCTTGGGAAGCTGTCACGGCGGGGAAAAGTGAAAATTCCCTAGCTTGGGAAGCCCCCACGGGGGGGAAAAGTGAAAATTCCCTAGCTTGGGGAGCCCCCACGGGGGGGAAAAGTGAAAATTCCCTAGCTTGGGGAGCCCCCACGGGGGGGTGAAAATTCCCTAGCTTGGGGAGCCCCCACGGGGGGGGGAAGTGAAAATTCTTAGCTTGGGGAGCCCCCACGGGGGAAAACCACCCTTAGCCCCTCTCACGGACCGAAATAAACTTGCGGTGTGGGCGGCCACCCCACGCGAAGCGGGGTGAATATTGCAAAATGTACAAACGTAAAGTGGACCATTTGGAATTGCCGACTCACCTTTTGCACTCCGGTTGGTCTTTGACCGGGGAATCTTTCGATGCCTTCAAACCGGCATGCGGCAGTGCGTGACAGACCGGTTGTGACATTGGTTGTTGCTCCTTCAGGTCATTCAAGCTGCGGCCGCTGCGGCCTCCTGCTTTCTTTCTGCGGCTGTGTCGCTTGGACCTCAAACAGTCGCAGCTTGGAACGCATTACCGCAAGAATAAGTTACAGCAACCCCCAAAAGACAGACAAGTAATTAAGTAATTTACATATATTATAATTATATTTAATTGTTGATTACTATTTTAATGATGGATGTTGCTTTTCTGTCCTTGTGAGGGTTGCTATATAAACGATCTTCGCTCAATTTTGAAACCGGATGAAATCATGGCACGCTGGGTATGCTCTTTTTGTGGTTTCTGCGGTGAGGGAGGTGAAAATGACATTCCTACGGCTTTCTGTCCCTGACCTTGCAGCACAAATCAGCACAGTACTTGCTGAAATGGGGAGGCCATTGTCCTGTGACCAGCATCACAATGTTTGCCAATGTCATATATGTCATGAAGAGTTTCATCTAAATGGATCTATGTAACGTTGCAAGCTGCAACCCCCACATCATCGTGATTCTTGCGCCCTCTCTGTGACACTTGCTCTAAACAGCTGCCCTCTCAAACCACAATGGACTTTAAAAGGCATCATGCCAGCCAGAGTTTTGATGAGTTTTGCATGTGAAAACAAAATCCCACAAACTACAAACATCTGAGTCATCTGAGATTTCGGGTGCTTGAGGAATTTTGCTGGACCTAACACTGACTATCACTGACTATCACTGACTATCCTGTCCTGGAAAGCTCCGGAAAAGCCTGGAGTCTCCAGTCGTGATGACCTGGGTGCAGAGAGAGCATGTCTCCGACAGAATTGCTGGTAGCACGCGATGGAATCCACAGAAGAATGATGAAAACTTATTTGAAAAATATTGACAAATGATGAAACATGATGAAACATTCTGAAACGTATAAAACTAAAACTGAAAATGACTGAAAGTTAAAAGGAATTGTGTGTGTGTATGCGAGTTTTGCCATGCCTCGAGAAGAGCCTGCCACTGCTCAATCGCGAATGCGTGGGGCTGGTGCGCAAGGGAACGCCCCCGTGCAACACCGACACTGGCTGTGCCCCCGACATGCTGCTTTGAGCCATGCTTCCAGTAGCCCAGTTCTGGAAGCTGCAACAAATGTACCCAGCACACACAGCACATGATATCAAGCAATGGTAGGTCTGTGGTGCATGCGACACAATAAATAGAATGATGCAGCATCACTGGCGATTGGCGACCCAGGCGTTTTTCGCACCAATGCCATAATTTGGAACAGAACATGGGTCTAGTTGCTACACGTTTCTACACTTTCTACACTAAATGGCTCAGCAGCGAAGGCTAATCAGCACTTCTGGACATTGCTTCAGAACTCCTTGCTGGCACTGCTAATGCATACAATGGCGTACATGGCGTACCTATGCGTACCTGATATACATGTGTCATCCTGAGGCATCCTCCCTACTCGAAGAGGACCACATCTTTGGAGACACATTCTTCCAACCTTTGTGAATCTGATTTCTCCATCTGGCTTCGGCCAGCAGGAAATGGCACGTGGATTCTTAGAATGCAATTTTCCTCAGCGGGGTTTGTAGAGGAGTTTGGATCAGCCATGGATGAAAGAAGAGGATTGCTGCCACCTTTCTTCTTTGTGGAAGACAATCTGCCACATAGATTTGGGCCCCATTCCGCATCTCCGACATCACTCGTGCCACTAACTTTTGTAAGTTGCCTTTCAAACAATTCAGCAAAGCGTTGACATGTGTTCCATCGGCTCTCATGACGGCCGTTGAAGAAGCCGAAGCTCGGGGGCTCAATGGCTCCTGCAATTTGGTGACAGTGCGTGCAGACCAATTTGCTGCTGCAAAATGTTGCCTACAGTATGTTCCTTTTTTCGTTCTTTGGCATCTAAAGACGTGTGGCTTTGTAAACAAAACATGTTGCTGCTCAAGGATACTCAGGGCAATATAGAATATAATTACCAGAACTGTCTCCTATTCAAAGTACTTCAAAGCTACTGGCGGAAACTGTTGTTGCATTGAAAATCATTCAAAACCAAGGCTTTGCACGGCTTTGCTTCGTCTCGTCCTGATGCAATTTCACGAAGCTCTTGTTCATTCATCATCACGATTCGTATCCGCAACATTCCAACATCATCCTTCCCCACTGGCTTGAGTGGGGTGATGAACCATCTCCCTGAGGCTTCCGTTTGCGCACAGGTCAGCGTGAACACGTACCATGCCGACTGGTAATAGGACTCGACACGTCGTGCTTCGTTGAAGAAAACATGGTAAGGTGCAAAGCAGGAGCTCAAGTGGTTGGTACAAGTGGTCAGCACGTGCCACTTGTCTTCTTGAGATAGCTGGGTCACTAGGAATGGTTCATTCTTGGCTACTGCCATTTCGGCTGTTCGCAACACGTTGGCTAGCACAAATTCATTCCGGAAGACCTCTGTAATGGGCTTCACAAACAAGGTCCTCTTCTCAACCCGGCCCAATGACTTCAGGTGCTCTGTTGTGAGGAGGACAGCCTGGAAAAGTCACGAGGACAAAGCTTGTCACTTCAAGATCTTTGACTAATTACATCACAGAAACATGCTGAACAACTAGATATGTTCTATCGTCATTTGGCATAATAGGAATCCTTCGTCTGCATTAAATGATGACCATCCCCCAAGATAATCAGGCAATTCACCCAAGCTTTGCCACTGGACATTTACATATATAGTATATAATGAATATATATATATATAATTACACACTATTAATAGATATATATATATATATGTATATATATATATACTAATACCAATCATTAGGTCAACCAGCTGCAACTTATTGCACGGAACTCCTGTGATTCGGACTGTCACCACGACTAACTCCACCCGTTGCCTGTGAGCAGCGGAGCACAAGACCCAGCCTGCACCACACTGAGGTCCACATGCCTCCGCCAAAGCGATTCGGCCTCTTGTTGTTGAAACCGCCGGATCAAGTCCTGGCCAGAGCACGCCAGGATCAGATCCATTCAGTTACAGTGATTGTGATACTCTGAGAACAACTAATAACAAGAGAAACAAGCTCCTGAAGATACCTAAAGAGGACGGCAACCGCACCCCCTGCGAGCATCGCCCAAATGGTGTTCGACTTCAAGTTCTTCAACCTAGGCTGCTATGGGATTTCAGATCTTTTTGCCGTGCCAAAAAGATCAAGTTGAAAACTATTCACAAATCGATTCAACTTGTGGCTAGTTGGTTGGTTTGTGCACTTCAGCTGAGACTCAGAGCGGCCAAGAAGGATGAAAGCGTCAAGCGTGGGCCCTTTGCCACAGCTGCAGAGGCAGCCATGATGGCAATCCTTGAAACAACTTGAAACAAAATGAAATGACTTTTCTGCCCGCCTCTTCAATGCAGCTTTGTACAGTTTTGTGTATGCCGATCCTTGCTGATCCTAATGATCTTACTTCCAGTTCCAGTCTTGCATGTTCATCCAAGCTCAGCACCCTTGACGCCCAGGCCGGGAACTCTCTAGCATTTTTCATAGAAATGGCTTCGGTCAAAAATGCCAACAACTCCAAACATGTAAACCCACCGCAAGATCTTCAAGTTCAAGCCACCAATTCCTTACAAAGAAGTCATGAGTCAACATGAGTCAACATGAGTCAACATGAGTCAACATGAGTCAACATGAGTCAACATTAATTACAAACATTGCACTTCTATACACTTCTGATTCTGAGATATACAGTAGTCAGGCTCTGATGCAAGCTGCACAGTCTTGTCCCTCAAGCAATCACGCAAGTTGGTCGCGAAAATTCAGCCTGCCGAGAAGCAGGGCTTGCCGCCTTGACTTTGATGACTCAAGAGAAGTTGTTGACAACATGTGACAACTGCTGTGGCATCTTGCAAGAATTGTGCGAATTTGTGAGCCAGCCAAGTTGCTATTAATCCAGCGTCTTACCATGGGACACTCTTGCTTTTGGCATCTGATGAGGTCATAACATGTCATAACATGTCATAACTGTGATGAAGGCGCATGCATGTCACACAGCAGCACATCTACAAGTTCATTGAATTATATTGAATTGATTATAAACGCTCCATGGGACTCTATGGTTGCGAATGGACGTAAGGTCGTGCCCACAAATGTCCACAGCTCGGAATCACTACCAGCAGCGGCCTTGGAAGCGACGAAAATCATTTTCCCTGCCAGGCTTCTAAGTCGATGCGCTGGAAAACGGGCGTTGGCTTTGGCCCCACCTCGAGGATGTTGGATGAAACAGCAAGTCTGCGCATACTGAGGTCGCAACTCATACTACAACTGATGCCGGATGATAGGAGATATACTGAGTCTGTATCGGATAAACCGTGATAAACCTCATCTCTCTGACACACCTGAAATCGACAAAATATGACTGAGCTGGAAGCTGAGCCAGGAATCCTGAGTGAAATGTAGCCAAATGATGTGCATAATTTCTGCATAATGAAATTCATGATGTCGAATTCTGGAAGTGTCTTTCTGGAATTGTCTGCTAATTATACTTCAGTTTGACTTGGTTTGACCATAGATGTCTATCATTGGTCTATCCAAACATTCCAAGTATTTCCAAGTCCAAGGATCACATCCCACCTCCATGCAGTGTCCTTCCAGGAGAGCTGGCCTAGATTCCGATGCAGCATGCGGCAGCAAAAGCCAACCCCGTGACCCCGTGCCATGTGTGACTCGCCATGACTCGCCTTGGCCAAGACCGAACTCGGCCAGAATCTTTGCGCTTAGTCCCGGTGTGACAGGAGAAAGAAGCACAGCGCAAATGCGAACACCTGCACCAAAACCGCTGAAATCCGCTTGGTCAAATTCAAGGCGTTCAAATATGTTCAAATATGTTCCAATATGTTCGATTGCCTTCAAGGTCATCCCAGTCACCCGGTCACCAGAAGCTCACCCCAGAGTTACCCCTGAGGGCGCCTTCTGCCATCACTAGAAGCTCGCGCAACGCCAGACTTTTCTCCTCATCGCTAGTGTTCTTCTTTAACTTTGCCCAAGGCTCAACCTCATGGCAAGCGCTTGAATGCCAGCAGGAAGCAAAGCAGGACACAAAAAAAAAGGTGTGTATGACAAAGCCATACAATGCCAAAGCATCTGCTTGCCTCGTTCATTCGAACGTTGGCAACCGTCGCGATTTCGAGCGCTGTGGCGACGGCCTGAGAGACACTTTCGGCAACAGGGAAGCTTCAATTGGTGATGCTGATTGCAGACATGATCATGGCATTAGCCAAGGCCTTTTTGTGGGAATATGATTGAATATAATTATGTATACTGTATATTCTTAATTTATTATGTATTCTTGTTCCCTTGCTGATCATTGCTGATCATTGCTGATCATTGCTGATCATTGCTGCATTCGCAGCTTCTGATATTCTGAGTCTGAGGTATCCTCTCAACAAAAACCCGCTGTATCCCGCTATGTGCCTTGGGGATATCTGTCTGCTCATAGCAGGCGGCAACAGCTTCTGGAGCTTTCTCTGCTGCAGTTCGGACCTGGTCCCAAAAGCGAATGCGAATGATGCGAATGGAACCTACTGTAATTGATACTTAATTGATACTTGTTGTAACACTTGTTGTATCTTTTTGCATCAGTAATTGGCCCTGGCAGTTTGGAGCCTCTTGTCCGATCAATGCAACATATTGCAACTAAGGATAGCTGAGGCAATGGACTGGGTGATCGTCGAATACAGCTCCGTCGTCCACCAAATCCAATGGGGAAGCTGGATCTGCCAGGTTCTTTCGTAGAAGCGTTAAGATTCGATGGACCAAATTTCCAAGTTCGTTGGCAAGGCTACCTGGCAGGCCAGGATGCTACAGGCTCTGCACTCTGCGCAAAGCCTCTTCAAGCAGAGGATATGCTGTTTTTATACGTGACATGTGCACATTTGTGCACTGGATGTGCCAAGTTGATCCAAGTTGATCCAAGTTGCTGTTGACTCTCTTGATGAAGGTCTCATAGCTGAAGTCACCATCTAGACCAAACGAGAGACAACTGGAGAAGAAAAAGCGAACCGCATCGGAACCAAAGTCGTTCACCAAGGGGATGGGCTCCACGACATTTCCCAATGACTTTCCCATCTTTAAGCCATCCTTTGTCAGGAACCCATGCGTGCAAATATGCTTGGGCAGTGGAAGCCCTGCAGACATCAGCATAGCTGGCCAGTAAATTGCGTGAAATCTCATGATATCTTTTCCAATGACATGTACATCAGCGGGCCATCCGCGTTGCAGAACGGTATCCAAGGTTGCCGGATCCTCTGGCCCCAGCAATGAGGACAAGTACCCTAGAAGCGCATCAAACCAAACATAGATGACCTACAGGGCATGTTGCACTTGCAGGCACAGCACACCCCAACGAATAGAGAGAGGCATGATTCGGCATCATTGTGATGAAATTGGAAAGCCTCACTTTAAACAGTAAAAATCGTCATTCTGAGGCTACCTAGGATTATGCAATATGAATCCGTATGATATCATTGATATCATGATTTTCCGGAATCCTTTCGCGGAAACGGTGTAACCTTTTGACCCCATGACACCTGTGAATCATCTCCTGGAACTGGGATTCCCCAAGACGTGCTAGCTCTAGAAATCGAAAAATCACGTTTGTTGTCTTCCTCCAGCCACACGAGAACTTGGCTGCGGCGACTGGTGGGCAAAATGAAATCTGGATTCTCCTCCAGATGCTGCCGCACTGCACCCCAATACTTGGAGAGCCGGAAGAAGTAATTCTCTTCACTGCGCCACTCACATTCCTTTTGGTGTATTTTGCAAATATGTCCCTCTGACATCTCATCCTCATCCAGGTACGCTTCACAGCCAACGCAGTAGAAACCACTGTAGTCTTTCCTTGCTTGAACAGAGCTACAGATCGGACGCTCAAAGTAAAGAATACATTTATGCCTATATGCAGATATGTGCATCTATAGATAGATATATAGTGTATATATATATATGTGTGTGTGTATGTATATATATATATATGCATGCACATGTGCATAATATGTACATACATACTATACATAATAATATATATATGTATGTATATGTACGCATATAATTACATAATTACTATATGTCTATTACTATTACATATTACTATGTTTTACTATATGTTACTATATGTTACTATATATATATATTACTATGTATTACTATATATTACTATATATTACTATATATTTACATTGATTTGTAGTATATTACATAATATTACACATATATATATAATTATAATATATATATATTATACAAATATGTTATATAAATAGATAATAAAATTTTATAAATATTGTAAACACATATCAACACCTTATTCTTGTCTACAGGCCACAATCATCCGCGTCTAATCCCAAACCAGATGCGCATGTTGAGAACACTTGCAGGATGACAAGGGGCTTGTAGATGTCGCCATTGTCCAGGCATCGCTGCCACATTTCATGGACAATTTCCTTCATTTCCCACAGGCTGAAAATTTGTTCCATCTTTTTCCAGATGGTCGATTCTTATAATTCTTTTTACTCGCTAGTATTTAAGAGACCCAGGGCAAAATCAGTGTCATTTGTCAATCCTTGTTGCTGACCCTCCAACATTCTGCAACCAAACAGTCCATCCTTGTGCTTGGCTGGAGTTGTCCGCGCGAAATGATCTGGCTGCACCTTGAGCAAGTCCCATAAATCCTGAGTGGGAAGTAGGTCGGAAGGCATGTTTGGAGAGAGGTATGATCTGTAACTGGTTTGTTATGGTTTGTTCATTTTGCAGCGTGCTCAGAAACTCAGCGGCGCCCAAGTCTGTTCATATACAGTAATCATTGTTAATTACAGTAACCCCTTGTAGTAACTATAACATCGCTCCGCACAAAGTTCTCTGAATGACAGCTTCTTCCCGTCCTGGAACTCTGTTGCTATCCCGTCGACGAGCTCTTGTGGAGTCTTGTCTTGACCAGCCTCTGGGACTTCACTGGAGGCACTCTGCTCCAACTCCATTGGTTCTACTTTCCAAATCTGTCCAATGCGACAAAGATCGACAAAGTCTGCTTTGTGACCACTGAGAATATCTGCTTCAGTTACTTCAGTTGGGCATATTCTGTGCTTAAAACATCTTCACTAAATACTTTATTATATAATCTTTATTAAACATCCCATGACGTCCCATGAAGGTCCCCTTGCGGCAAGGGAGCCGCTGTTCGCGCAATCTTCTCGCCATGTTCATCCATGCCAGTCACATAGTGAACTTCTGCTTCTCGCAGCTTCCCATACCGCGCCATAACATCCGCCGCAATCGCAGGGTACGCGCTTCCTCAACGTTCAAAAAATACATCATAAAAATGCCTGAACCTGGCAAATCCATGCAAATCCTCGCAACCTCTTGAAATCCTCAGACCTTTATAGACCTTTGTAGAAATGGTGCTGTTGGACCTCATTTTTCAGGTTTGGCTCCAATGTGCGGAGAACCGTTCGCATAGAACAGTGGGGTCGTAACCATCAGCTTTTGAAGATTGCCTGCCAAGTGCACTGCATACTGTTCAAAAGGATACACAAGGTAATGTCTGTTGTTTGCTTTCATCATTTATCTAATCTGACTGAATGGCAGGCGTGCCGGTTAGACGGCAACAGTCCAAACAATGGGAGGATCGACCCTTCTCTTCTTCAATCCCAAGCATGAAAACGACACTGCCTGCATCATCCTTGTCCAACCGAAGTCTTGGGCGTCTACTGCTTGCCACATCTTCCTCACAAGTTGACATTTCTGCGCAAAGAAATTATGAAGGCAGGTGCAACATGGCCCCCCAACATGGCTACGTGCAGGTTGAGGGAAAAAGGACCCATTGCCCTACTGAAAGAGCCGCAAGTCAAAACAAGGAAGCACCGCTGCTGATCAAACCAAGCACAAATACATATATATATATATGTCAATACATTTCATGTACATGTCGACCTTTAAGACTGCCAGAAGGGCCTCCACTTCTTCTTCTATTGTAGCTGCCGACGTCACCGCAGTGGCACGTGTCCTCAAAAGTCTGACCTTGGCCGAGAGGAAAAGGAACTTCAGAAGATATCAGAAGTCGAAGTGTCAAACAGTGTCAAACAGTGTCAGACAAATGCTCCACCTTTCGGCCTCCGATCCCCAATGATCTTGGTGAATAGTGCTCCAGACGCTCCAGGATATGGAAGATTCTGCCAGTGGTGTCCGAGGATCAGGAGGCTGGACGTCACTATTCAAAACCTATCCTATCTACGGTAGAGATCGGTAGAGCAGGTTCATGCGGTTCATTTTAATTTCAAGGGGCGGGATGTTTTCGGCAGAATAGCATCCGCAAATAGAACTTACAATTGGTGATACCGATACCTACATTTTGCTCGACTTCCCAGGATCCATTCAGGCACGAATGTCTCTCAAGGTTCTTTCACAGTATCTTGTGCAGTTGTATCAATTTTGTTATCAACACAATACCGATGCTAGGGCTGAGGATGGCTGAGGCATTGGCAGACTTGCTTGGCCGAGACAGGAAGCGCGAGTAGCACACGCAGCTCAAACAGCTCAAGCCAGCAACTGTTGCATGCCTGACGTTAAAATCGCCCTGCTCTCTCAAGGCACGAGGAGCTGGTGCAGCTATCAAGCGTCTCCAATTCTGCGCCACAAACCGTCGAGAAGCAGCAATAGAAGCTCCAGGCTGCAGAGGTTGCAAAGGCTGCATGATGTCACTATATTAGCAACGTCATTCAAGCATCCTAAAAGCAGCGAAAACCTTGAGCCGATGGGACCATGGGGCCAAAAAGGAACATCTGCCACACAGAAGGTATAGATTCTCGCCAAGAGGGGCAAAAAATGAAACAATTGAAATGCAATACCAGGGCCTGTCTCAGCAACTCGTGCAACAGCAGCAGTTGCTTTTTGTGACAAGAGTTAGCGCACAAGGTCACAAGAGACCCCAGGCATATCCCCCCAACACAATGCACCCGGCCATGAACTATTCAAATGTCATCCGCGCAGTAGATGATATTAGATGATAGTAACTGATAGTAGTTTTTATTATTATTTATTAGTTTGTATTAGCCTCATATATGTTAGCATAGGGATGCATAGGGCGTGTTTGCGTGATATCGATCCAAAATGATCCAAATAGGTGGGCGGATGTGGGCGGATGTGGGCAGGTGCATTGCAACCCCTGGGGATGAGGATATGCAGCCCAGCCTTCCCCTTGCAGGGAGAAGCTTTCGAATGCGCGGGCTTGATTCCACCACTAAATCATCTAGAAATATCTAGAATCACACAAGAAAATAACGAAGTAACGACGCAATAGGATTCAAAAGATCTTGCTTTCGGAACCAAGCCACTCTCACCAAGAGGTTCTACAAAAGACCAAAACCACTCAAGAGATCTCAAGAGTTTAGCAACTTGTCCATGTCAACTAAATCTTCTTTCCGGTTTTCATCTGCTTCATGGTTGACATTGTCTTCGTTTTCATGTATGCTGGTGGTCCAGCCTTCTTCTTTCGTTCTGCCTTGGCAAAAGCAAATCACTTGCATGGCATGCAGCAGGGGCTAAAACGAAGTTTGATAAGTTGACACATGAGATCACAAAAAATGAACACCATCCGAGACACTGGATACCTTTTCGTTCCAACATCCCCGCGGGTCAGCCCACGCTCTTGGAAGAAATCATCCGTGGTCTTCTCATCTTTGTTATACATCATGTCCAACTGCAGGGTTTTGGTTGGCAGCTTCAACCACCAAGACAAGCCAGCCGTGGCGAATATCGGTCCAAAGATCACATAGGACGACTTTTTGGATCACTTAGGCCGACAATCTCGGATGTGGATTCACATCTTTAAGGTTTATATTTAGGGAGGGACTGGGGACTGGGGACAGGATCATATTGGGATCCACTGGCTACACGCCTTTGGGTGTTATTTTTAGGGGTGTGGATCTAAAACAGGTGACAACTGGGACCTGGGAGGGGACAGAGGGGACCACTTCGGATATATGAAGATATCTTATGATATCTTTCTATTGCAAATATAATATAATCATGCATCTGTGACGTAGGCCTAAGCGAGCCAAAACGTAGGCCTAAGCGAGGTACTGACCGCGAATATCACGCAAAGCATATTGGTGCCAGTTTATTGCACATGACATATTTAATAATTTAATCAATTTCAATCCCGTGTTTGCCTGCCAATTCCGAGGAATGGGTCGCAAAGTGCGGAAAATAATTGCTGCCAACTTCTCCCCACTCTTCAGCAGAACATCCTAAGCACATGAAATGCCAAGGGTTGTGGGATGTTGTGGGCCGAAAGGAAAAACATCCTGAAAATCAGACACCCGACACCCATCAACCCCTGACGTTCAAAGCTGAGGCAAGCGCACTGTTGGGCGCAAAATCGATGGTGGGCAGCTCACTGGGACCTTCCCGCACTAAAGGTCGCTGCCAGGCAGAGGATAGCTCTGCTCCCAGACTACATGGGAGAATTGAACACACGATGTCACAATATTGTAGCACACAGATATACTACATATACTGCATATATGCTACATCGAGTACATCTACTACATCGAGTACATCTACTACATCGAGTACATCTACCACATAAACGACATATACGACAAATACTACATGTACACATACTACATACACTACATATACTACATATACTGCATATCCTGCATATCCTGCATGACAGAATCTTCTGCACTCTCGTTCCCCGCTGATTGCACTTGAAACATCTTCAGAATGTTACTCCTTGAAACCAACACCCTGCCTGGACAAGCGCAATACTTCAGCAAGGAACCATTGAAAGGCACCGCGTCCACCATACCCTTGCTGGTTTCCAGAGCCCACTCCATTCGTTTGTAAGGTACGTGCTTCTTATTCTTGCACAATTTGCCCCACCATGCCACGTAGTAACCTTTGGGCAGGTTCCGAGTAGCCACGAGGATCTTTCCAAAGCGTGGATGCTTCACGGCCTTTAGGGACGGATCGCCTTTCTTCATACCTCAAAAGCAACAAAACTCGGATGATCTCGGATGTGTCAAGTTGTCAAGTGTACAAAAGGAACCATAATTTCTGGAAAACACTGCGACCGTCAAACCCACTCCATGACACGCAGTGTGAAAGCATGTGCGTCGACTTCTGCTTTTGTGGGTTGCTCACTAATCTCACTATGCTCACTTGCACGAGATTCGCAACATTTCGCAACTAATGTGTCAAATTGTTTGCCAACTGCCTCATCACCGAGGCACAGCCCTTGCAATATGGCATTAACTTTGTTGCCCTGGGATGTGGGCAAGCACGTCCCGAACGAGATGTTGCCATACATCCACCGCTCTTGGGCAAGTACTGCCCTGATGCCGAAAGCCGGCCTGAGTTCATTCTCCATCCGAGCACATTCTGTCCAAAAAACACCAAAAAAAACACTTAAACATACTTGAACGACTTGAACATGCCCAGCCTTGGGCAGGAACGTGAGTTGCTTTCCCCATCAAGAAAGGTTATGCCAACAGGCCAAGAGAAACTACGTAGACCGTATACCGAAGAAGGACTGCGAAATGTTTTTAGAATAATTATGTGCTGCACTTTGGTTAAGAATGCGACGTTTAAAGATTTCTCATGCATTCTAAACCGGTCATTAGGAACATATATAATAACGTGTCACGAGTGTTGGAGCCAGTATAGCTAAGAGTTTTTGATGCCGCGTCTGGTCATGTCATGTTGCTGCGAACCAGACACGCCGCAGGGAAGAAAACATCGTTAAGTTCCTTGTGAACATGCCGGCAAATTCACCAGGCAATGAAATGTCCGTCGCAAATTATTTATGGTCATCTACTTAATAACTTAATATAAGAGGCTTTCCCAGGCCGCTGCGTCTGAAGGAAACAGTATAATTTTTACTGTGTGCAACGATTTTGGCGAAAACGTCCAAGAAAAATGGACCATCAAGACTAACAGAATGATGCAAACATGTAAAAAATGATTCTAAGGCTAAGTCAAGGCGAACCGTATCATCGCCATAGAAACCAGCATGTTGATTGTAAGTTGAGCTAAAAATCAGCGAAGGCCTAGCGGTATATATACGATTATATACGTATATAATTATAATCATACCTCTCAAATCATCATGTATTGAAATCATTTTTGTAAAGTTGTGCCCACAGGGCAAAGTCTTTAAATTTCTCTCTTTCCATCGCCCTTTCCGAGAGATCCGTATGCCATTTTTATTGTTGAAAGGGTGCAGGGCACATTTGGTTTGATTGATACTGTAGGTTTGCGGATGTTTTTTGTTTTTGATGCCATTGAATGGCATTGTTTTTCGGTGGCGCCTTCAATGTTTCCACATTTTTGTCGCGATTTAGTTCATTATGAGAATTGTTTTTTCTGTTTTAGTAATCCTGATTTTTTTTATTCGGCATAAACCTTATGCTTATACGGTACCATTGGGACTTTGGTTTTAATCCTGCCATGTGTGTTATGATTTTGCTGCTGGCCATGTACTTCTTGGACATATTTTGTTGGTTTTGTCTGTCAGAGATTTTTTCTTCAGGATGTTTTAAAGGGTTTACAAAATCCAATAATTCTGGATAAATTCAACCATTTCAAATCCTTCCAAATTTATCGGAATATAACAGGGATTTAATCCATTTTAACCCCAGTTTATCCAAATTTAACCAACATTTATCCAAATTTAACCAAAATTTATCCAAAGTTAACCAGAATTTATCCAAAAATAAATTGCCTGGACTTCTGCCCCAAGGCAGGGAGGGATTTCCTGTTTTTCCCAAAATTTCACCAAAAAACGTGATTTTCACCCCAAAAATGCAGTTTATGGAACCAAAATCCTGATTTTATCAATTTTATCACTGGTTTATCCCAATTTAATTCAAATTTATTCAGTTTTACATGGAGGAACACACTCAATTTATCAGATTTTATCAGGACTTTAAGCAAAGATATATACCCCTATTTATTTCCTGGGGAATTTTTCTTTGAGTCTAAGTTTGGGTGATTGGCATGGTATTCATAAATTACACCGGCATAGGCCCATATAGACCCCAGACAGCGATGATTTTTTGTCACTTTTGAAGTGTGGAGGCAGACTGGGGGAGTGGGGAGACAAAACTGGGAGACAAGGCGACAGCGGCAGTGAAGGCAGCGATCAAGAAAGGAGACAAGAGTGGAAAACAAAAAAACTGCAACGGCAAAATGTTCTTCGATCAGATCCAGTGTTGCAAAAAGTAAGGACCCTCATAGCTGACGCTATGTGGAGAAAATACCTTGTATCAAATCCTTGACGTTGTCGGTAATTACCAACATGCACAAATTTCATGTTGTTCCCACATTTTGATTTGGGAACGCGGGAACACCATGGAAAACCAATAAATAAACCATGAGGAACCTTTGAATAGCTAAGTGCGCATACAATGCGCATACATGTATAGAAAGGTGTGTAAAGTCTACAATTTGAAACCTTGGCCGGTTCCTACTAACATGTCTACGTCTGTGGTTGGATTGTTCTGTGACACTGTTCAGCTGTGGTGACACATTCCAAGTCCCCATGTTTGCTGACGTTCTCGGTCGTTTTGCCGTGTAAAAATTTGGTTTATGTAATGGTTGGGCGCGGTTTTTTTTATAGAACCTTTTTTTGGGCTTATATATTCTGGAATACCAATATTGTACTACCTAGCAGGCCGGTTATGCAAAAAAACGAGATGCGGCCCACGAACCCGAATGCAGTCACGGAAAACACTGTTGTGAAAGAAGTTATTTGAACAGTCTTGTAAATTTTCCTGTGTTACTGCACAAGTGGATTATAGACTGTGGAGTGTGGAATGGGGTGGGGTACAAAGCGATGAGCGTGAAGAAAGTGGAGTGTTGAGTGGGGAGTGTAGTGTGTAGAGTGTGAAGTGCTGATTGTGGAGTGTGAAGTGCAAAGTGTGGAGTGTAAAGGATGAAGTGTGGAGTATAAAGTGGAAAGTGTAAACTGTAGAGTGCGGAGTGTAAACTGTAAAGTGTGGAGTGTGGAGCGTAAAGTCTGGGGCGTAAAGTGTATAGTGTGGAGTATAAAGTGTGAAGTGTGGAGTGTAGAAGTGTAGAAGTGGAATATAAAATATAAAGTGTGGAGTGTAAAGTGTAGAGTGTATAGTGTCAAGTGTAAGATGTACAGTGTTGAGTGTGGAGTGTCGAGTGTAAAGTGCGGAGGGTAAAGTATAGAGTGCGGAGCGTAAAGTGCAAAGTGTGGAGTCTCAAGTGTGAAGTGTAGAGTGTAATTACAATGTAGAGGGTGGAGCGTGGAGTGTGAAGTGTAAAGTTTGGAGTGTAGAGTGTAAAGTTTTGAGTGTAAAGTGTAGAGTGCGAAGTGTGAAGTGTGGAGTATAAAGTGTCAACTGTGGAGTGTGAAGTGCGAAGTGTGAAGTGTAATGCGTGGAGTGTGGAGTGTACAGTGCAGAGCCTGGAGTGTAAAGTGTGGAGTGTGGAGTGTAAAGTGTGGAATGTAAAGTGTAAAGTGTGGAGCGCGGAGTGCGAAGTGTAAAGTGTAAAGCGTGGAGTGCGAAGTGTAAAGTGTAAAGCGTCGAGTGTGGAGTGTCAAGTGTAAAGTGTCGGGTGTAAAGGGGTGAGAGGGGGTGAAAAAGGGTGAAAAGAGATGTAAAGGGGGTGTAAAGGGGTGTAAACGGGTGTATAGTGTGGAGTGCGGAGTGTAAAGTGTGAAGTGTGAAGTGTGGAGTAGAGTGTGGAGTGTAAAGTGTAAAGTGTGGAGTGTAAGATGTAAAGTGTGGAGTGCAAAGTGTAAAGTGCAAAATGTGCAGTCTAAAGTGGAAAGTGTGGAGTGCGCAGTGTAGAGTGCAGAGTGTAAAGTGTAGAGTATAGAGTGCAGAGTGCGGAGTGTAAAGTGTAAAGTCTAGAGTGTAAAGTGCAAAGTGTGGAGTGTAGAGTGTAAAGTGTAAAGTGTAATTTTTAGAGTGCAAAGTGTAAAGTGCAAAGTGTAAAGTGCAAAGTATAAAGTGTGGAGTGTAGAGTGTGGAGTGTCAAGTGTAGTGTGTGGAGTGTTGAGTGTACAGTGTACAGTGTAGAGTGTCAGAAAGACCACGCGTGCCACGCAAAATCACATTCCATACTCACTAAATCTGCGCCAAATAATACTGCCACTGCCATCCACTGCCATGCAAAATTACATTCTCGCAATGTCCCACATCTGCCACGCGATTTGGACGTTGTCACCACTTGACACAGCCCTGACAATGCGATGCGCAAAAACACGCAACGCCACACGTCTGAACCGCTGCGCCTGCCACGCAAAATGACGATGGAGGTCTCCAAAGCGCTGCGCCTGCCACAAAAAATGGAACTCATCTGCTGGAAGTTTGAAGCCTTGCAAAAGTATTGCGCCTCTCACACAAAACTACTTTCGACATCTTTCGACGCGTTTGCAGACACGCGAAAATGTCAGGAAGTGCCACGCCTGCCAAGCAAAACGACATTACAACCTCCTTCGACACCTTGAAAGAGGAGAGGTTTTGCAGCTTCCCCCATGGACAAGGCGATGCCACAAGAAAACAAGAGAGTCGAGACGAAATATGTTGGAGGCTCAAAACATTTCGTGCGAGACGTAGCTACAACATCGACGTTTTCCTACGAATTTTCGCATGTACTCCAAAATTGACGACCTAAAATCGATGTTTCGTGCGAGGCTTCAATTTTCATCACGTCTCACAAAACGCGACGCCTGCCCCGGAACTTGCACGCTGTCACCACTTCACGCAGCCCTAAAAATGCGATTTACAAAAAACACGCATCGCGACACGTCCAAAGTGCTGCGCCTGGAGGTCTCCAAAGTGCGCGCCTGCCACGAAAAGTGCAACTCGTCTTCTGAAAATGACACAAAAGTTTTGCGCCTGCCACATAAAACGACTTTCGACACGGTATGAAACACGTGGGAATGTCACAAAGGTGCCACGCGTGCCACGCGAAACAAGTATGCGATGTTTGGAACCTCCTTGGAACCTCCGAAAGTGACCACTGTTGCAGAACTCGCCATAGGCACGGCCATACGGCCCTCACGCGGACACTTGCGGACGGTTGCGAACCGTTGGGGACGGTTGCGCACGGTCTGGCGAACACAGCCTCAACCCCCAAACCTCCAGTGTGAAACGGGAACCCTTGCTACGTATTCGGGAAAAATCCCACCCGCCTCGGAAATGACGTAAACATTCGATGTTGAAACAGAGACAAACTGATTTATATGTTATGGAACGGGTGGTCTAAACTGTCATAACAAGGAAATAACGGAATTACACAGAAATAAGGCTTAGGATTTGCAAACCAATTGTTTCGTATTGAGATCAAATTTGAACAAAAGTCTTTAGCAAATTGTATTGAATCAGGTAACTGCAGCCATCCACATGATTCATGTTGTGAAGAATTTTGGTGACACTGACAAACTAGTAGATGTTCACAGCGTAGGTCAAAATAAAGTATGCGCAGAAAATAACAGGCACCTAAAGAAATCATCCAAAACAAATATTTACATA